TTGGTGCGTTTTACAGAGCATCAAACTCACCCGGTTTAGTTGGTGGTGGAAGCCTAGGACCTCGGGTGGATGCTACACGTATACCGCATCCAATTCTATCCAGGACCGGTTCTGGGCTGTTAGCCGCCCGACCGCCCACCCGCTAGATATTTGGCCGCCCTCGCCCGATTACGCGAATCACGAGTAGATTTATAACTTAACCCAACCGATAAGAATTTACTGGTATGTTTTTACGATAGTTCTGTATAGTTGACAGGAGTTTAAAAAATCCATTAAAATATTTCGCTCTCCGATTTTCTATTACTCACGGATTTCAATGTTAAACCAGCGATATTACGATTTCATATATCCATCTCTAAGGGGATGTAGAAAAACGTGTATAATTCTTGTATAATGTTAAAAAAATTCACTGTTACTTTGACAGCATCATTTACAACTAAATTTAATGAATGAGAGAGATGCACGAGATACAGAAAAAGCTCTAGAATTTATTTTCCTTAAATTTACGATTTATGTATACGTTGTCATAAAAATTTGGCCTTCCACTTTTCTCCCGAGACTACAAATATTCGAGTACAAAGTAACCGGTTTCGACTTATTTCTACTTAAGAAGTAGTAAAATAATTAAGCGATTAAGAAATTGGGGACATAAATAAAACTCTGACGAAAGAGCCGAAATTTTACTTAAACAAAAGCTTAACCGAACCAATCTCTAGCCGAGTACAGTGGAGACTAATTTCTTCATAATATCAGATGTAATAAAGAGAGAAATTTTTCCAGTTCAACGACAGCGACCGAAAAGTTGTAAATTTTGGAAATTTCCGTGGAGCCTAGTCCTAAAACGAATTAGTTAGAAAACAAACGACGGACAATCTATTAAGTTTAACGTGTTTAGACTTTTACAGCTATGGTGAGAAACGTTTAAAATGTACAAAAACCCTGTCGCGTCTTTTGAGGTATACGAGTGATGCGACAAAAGTGACATTTGACATTGACCGGTATCGACACCCTCGGGATTTTGCAGCCCGCGTGCATGCACCTACCAGGACCGTCTCTGATTCCATTTATTAGTCATAGGAAGCTATTTGAATAAGTGGATTGTTTTAAGATTTAAAAAGTAAAGAAGATTTTATGTTATTTTTATGTACGTTTCTTTACAAAGCTATATTTAATTATAATATTCTTTAAAAGTATATTAATGTAATTGAAGAATATTTTGTACCAGGTATGTACTGTACAGTACATCCACCACACATTTTATTTCACTAAGTAAGTTTTTATTATTTTATTTATAATTTTAGCCCTTATATCGTGGCTAGCGATTCGGAATGTAATTGTGATATTAAAAATACATTTAGAGAAGTCTACGATTTTTACTGGCCAATCGAATAAACGATACGAATGGACCCTAGACCATCACTGACACGCAAATAACTGATTGCCCCTGGAAGTCGGCTTCTTACAGATACACAACTTCCCTACTATCAAATGTCACGGCACGACACTGCTGACCAGGATAAAACCACCAAAGTTGGTTGTGAGCCCAGAAAACGCCATTTGACCAGTCCTGGCGAAGCCAGGACTGGTCAAATGGCGTTTTCTGGGCTTTCTTTGCATTTGTAACACCTAAATAAGGAGCCAGTTTCCCATAAAAGTCCTCCCGTGAGGCATCCTCTTCAACAGAATACCCACGTGTCCTGTTATCGTAATAAAATAAACCAAAACAAGCACATCATGACAAGAAAAGCAACATCCTGCACCTAAGACAGTAGTAGCTATCTACAGGGTGAATCATAAGTCTCCCATACAAATGGTGAAAGCGGTTACTAATGTTTATTTTATTCGTACAAATGGTATCATATGATGCTACAGTCACAGGATATATTTCATTTGTTTCACTTCCATGTCGACACACAACGACTGCGTTCAATTGGTTCACCTTCCTGAAAACGAAAAAGAAATTAATCGCTGCTTTCACCATTTGTATGGAGACTTACGACTCACCCTGAAGTTGATATCTGTCAGTTGCAGGACTCACAGCCGAGCAACAGTTCCGTAATTCTCATCGTAGACAGGGGAGAAAAACAGAATAGGGTGCAGTAAAATATAGGTAAAGCACAGCAAGAGTAACCCAAAAAGAAGAAAACAGTACCCGAAAACGACATTATAAAAATGCAGATATCAAGCACACCACCACGACCTAGAAAGTAAAAGCAATACACATCTGAATAGCAAAAACTAACGCATTAAGTGGATGTAAATATAGAGTTGGTTACTATATTGATTTAATAATTTTGTTAGTGGATGCAGGACTAAGCGGTGGAATACCCAAAATCTATATGAACTTGGAAAGCTTAATTATATAGAAGTATTCACTATTTCGTATAATTGTTTAAATTTAACTTTATTTATTTGTAACAAAATTTATTTGTATTGCAGTTGTATACCAGTGTAATATACTAGCCACTAAAATCCCTTGGATTTTCAGTTAAATCACCCCAGACAGTGTGTAAGTGGTGCATGTAAAAGGAGTATCTTAAGATAACTTTGAGTTAGAAAAATGTTCTAGAAATCCATGAAAACAATAAAATAATAAATATGGGTCGTGTAGTATAAGGTGCGGTCCCAAAATCTCATTGAATTTGGGACTAGACCACCAAAAACAGAGTAAAAGTGTATTTTGTGCAAGGAAATTTTTGAAAGTCAGTTTTACTTTAGCAAAATCGTCTCAAAAATCACTAAAAAACTAATAAAGATGTGATTTTAATGAAAGAGGCAGCCACTACAACTCGCAGGATTTTGAGCTAGTCCTGTCCCAATGTGTTTATTCCATATGATTGATGGAAAATTTATTTGGTAGTGTTTAAATTTTAAAAAATACTCTATAATTTGTCAAAAATTTATTATAAATGTTAATATTTACAATAAGTCTAAAGGAAAAGTAGCCACTCCAAACCGCAGGGTTTTGACCTAGATCTCCCCAGAAGGTGTATATGTGTGTGTTATATTTAATATATTAAAAATTTATATTTTCGTGTAGTATGCTTCGAAAAACCTTAAAATTTCATAAAATATTATAGCTGTTCACGAAAATAAATAGCTAAAATAGCCACAGCAGCGGGGATAGCATGTTTTTGATGATTTATTTTATCCTGGGATTTAAAACGTGTGTTTTAATACCCGAAAATTCCGATCAATAATTAATAAATATAATAATGAGCTTGAAATAAAGTCCGAAGTAGCCGCTACAATCTCTAGGATTTTAAGCTACCCGTGACAAAATTAGTGTGTGGTTTCCTCGTTAAATTTTGGGAATTGATGTTAATTATTAAATAAACTTTCATATTTCTAAATGTATGATATGTGTAATTTTGTAAATTGTTGAGGAGAAATCACTGTCAGGGCCAAAAAATACAGCAGTCTGTTAATTAGCAACACAGCATTAATCGCCCTAATAGGAGCTTCAAAGCAAAGTGGTTTTCGGGCCGAAAGCAACTCTTGCCAAAAGAGGCAAAGGTTTTAAGTGCCCAAGAAAGAGAAGAATTGTTGTTATATTAATATTAGCGAAAGACAGTAATAACGTACCGGCTGCAACATGCTCAGTGTTTCGTGAAAATGAAATTTTTGGCTAGATCCCCGGAAGCTCCCACTTCACAGAGTGTGAGTATTGGTGAGTATGTACAGTACACAGATCAAAAGAGGAAATCTTCTAGGTATTAGAGAGATATGTTGATTTGATGAGATTTTAGAATTAATTTCTGATTTTAAAACTAGAAATAATTTTTAGAACTCTCTTTTATTACAACATATTTAGTGGCTTTTTTCTCTATCAGATTGTGGTACGTGTCACCGCCGACACATAAATAATACTTATTATTCTGGAAGGGTGGAGGCCTCTACCACATTTAGCGGACTCGTTTCACTGGTGTCACAGCGCCATCTATCGACGACTATTTGTACTATTTTTAGAAATAAATCTCAAGTGCATAATTTGAGGTATTTGTTGTCCAAATTTCATTTCATTATGGCCCATACAGCTCCTTGCATAGCCCTCCGAGTTGAGAAAGTTTAATGACCCTGTATAATTTGTTTTGTTTTTTCTGCTTTTGTTATACAAAGATTATCATTAATTAGAAATTTTTTGTTATATGTGATTTTTCTTTAAAGTAAAATATATATACTGTATATACATATTTTTTTGTTTACACTTTTAGAAAGTTATCCATCTACATTATTACACTTTCTTCATTATCAATGAATCCATTTAATATGAAATTATGCAATTTCCCCTCTGGCAAGTAATGTATTTTAAGATAATTTTTATTACTTTTTAGTTATCTTAAAATGAATTTAATTACACATTTTATGAAGTTCGGACTGGTATATTACAAAATATGCACTTGCTTAAGAAATCATCAGATTTTATATCAATAGTACTTAGAAAATTTTCAATCTAAAATAACTTTCGAAGATTCTTAATATATTAATGATCACAGAAATGGCTATAATAAACACCATAATAAATCTGCTGCGGTAATAAAATTAGTTGTAAATTCAATAGTCTCTTATTCACACACAGACTCATTAACTTTATAAAGTCAACACACCTTAATACTGAGAAAGCTCATTTATTCAGCTAAACAAACGTTTCCAACCCATTCCATGGGCCATCATCAGGTTAAAGACGTTCGAATCGCAGCAGCAGATTTATTATAGTATTAATATTCATAGATAACTGTCTACCTTATCACAAATAGTTAAGTGCATTGTAAACATCAAACTTGTTTCTTCAATTTTCTTTTGCATTATCTTCTTTCTCGAAATTCCTTGTAAGCACGTATACTTCATGCCTGAAAAACAAAGCTAAATTATTATTTACATATTTAATACTCTATCAGTCTTAGTAACGACGGAACCGTTTTACGATTTAAACTAACTTATTATTATTAGAATCATCAACCAATAATCAAAAAAGTGTTTCTTTTTTTTTAAGAACAAACCTTCCAATAGTTTCTCCTTGTTCTATGGTATCCGCCAACTCCATGTTTTTCGTTTCCGGTAAGAAAAACACTAATAAACCTCCGATAAGTGACATGGTACCAAATAATGCCAAAGGAAAAGATCTGTCTATTTGAGATGCCTGAAATGACAAGATCTCTATTACGGTTAACTCAGATTTTTTTAAGAAATTTATAAACTACGTCATTAGTATTTACCGCTTCTTTCATGAAAGGAGCAGCTATGGCTCCGATTCTTCCTACCGTCGAGCAAGATCCTAAACCAACGTTGCGGACTACAGTGGGATAAATCTCGGACGATAGAAGATATAACGAGCTAAAGGATACGGACAGACTGAATTTGGACACAACAGCTAAACTAATGAGAACTTTATGGAAATCTGCAATGATAATTATTGAAAATTGTAAAAAATACTTAGCATTGAAAGAAATAATTGGACATATTTGAAACACACCTTTAGGTACGGCGATAGCTACCAGACAAGCCGATCCACTTACTATCAAGCAAGCTATTTGCGTATATCTCCTACCAACAAATCGCTGAAAGTAGTAATATGAAAAACCCGCCGGTATTTCTACTAATGCAGAAAGAAAGAAAAATAAGAGCACGTCCAACCCAATATCGTCGGCCGAGAATGATAACCCGTAATAAGTTATTACGGTGGAAATCCTGTAAAGAAACTTTTTTGTACAGCTAACGAATAAAGGCCTTTCGTATATAGTCTACCGTCAATATTCTTACAGAAAATTTAAGCGAAAATAAAACTTACCAAGCAACGTACAATATAAAAGACATTCTTCGTAAATTGGGAGATTTCATTATATCCGAAAAGGTCGCCTGGTTATTTTGGTTTCTTTTGTTTTCCTAAAAAGATATTATTTTAAATTTCACGAACGTTGATTTAAAGGTTCATTCGTTATTTATTTGTTATATTTTCAAAAAATTAATGACCTTTTCGTTCAACTCGGAAATGATTTTTAGTCTCTCGTTCAAATGATCGATTTCTCTCTTGTTTATTTTTAACGCATTTATAGTCACGTTTTCCGCTTCGTTGACTCGATCTTGAGAAAGAAGCCATCTCGGAGATTCGGGTGTAATCCTATTGTGGATTGAATTGTTTTAAATTTAAATATTGATATTATGAGACAACATAAAATAAAATCAAAGGTGCAGAGAAAAATCCTTACCACCACAAAAGAAGAAATATTAAATAAGTCAAAGTATAAATTAAGTTTATATAAAACCAGTCTCTGAAAAGCCAGACGAGTCCAGGAATAATCATTTGTCCTAATCCCCAACCGACTTTGTTGAAAAACCCCACAATTACTCTATAATCCTTTCCAACAACTTCAGTTACTATACATAAAAAATCGTTAAATTAATTAAATATAATTCGTGCAAACATTTAAATGTACTAATGTTTATAACACATACAAAGAACATATACGGTTAAGCAGGTAGTTGCCTGTCCTAGGCCGAGAAGAAACCGAGATATTGCAAACAACCAGAAATTTTCAGAAAATATACATATNTTAAATGTACTAATGTTTATAACACGTACAAAGAACATATACGGTTAAGCAGGTAGATGCCTGTCCTAGGCCGAGAAGAAACCGAGATATTGCAAACAACCAGAAATTTTCAGAAAATATACATATCATGCCGAAAAGAAATGTCCACGCCGAGCTTAAATAAAGTACGGGTTTTCTGCCAAATCTATTTAGAAAATACTTAAAATTACAAACAAATTTCATGTTAATATGCAAAACTTAAAAAATGACGGTAATAAATCTTACTTATCTGATAATTGTCCTCCGATAAAAGTAGATAATAAATATCCGAAAAAGAAGAGAGATTGAACTAACGACGGTAAATATGCATTTTTGCATACCAAATTCCACTGTAAAATGAATTTTTAAATTGGAATTTCACAAAATAAAAATTAATTTTATTTTTAAGAATAAAATAATTTCGATCTTCCTACTTTATCAATTATGGTCGACTTATAAAATGAATGATCGTAATCCCAGGAATGACAGGGTACTCGAATCTTTTCTCCTTCTTCTGTAATGCTATAAACATCACACTGATTAGGTTTCTCTTTATCGACAATTTCTTCCAATGGAATAGTAAAATTTTTCCATTTTTCAGTGGTAGTATTAGAACTGTTTAATGGTGTCGTGCACCAATAATTTATTTTCGGTGCCATAAAAGCCATTCCAAACATGTACCATTCGTTAGGAATGTTCATATATATTATAAGCATCATCAAGAACAACTGCCATTTACCCCAATGTCCAATGATATCTGTTATGTCTTCTTCCTTGTCGCTCTCACTGCAATATTAAGATTTATGTAGACCTGTATTACTTAATATCAAGTTTATTCTCTAGAAATTCAATTACATTTAATTTTACATGTGAAAGAAATATAAATAGCATTACCTATTTATTTCCTTAGATGTATTTTTCATAATTAGAACTTATAGTTTATAAGCAACTTTGGGGGTATAATATGTTTTATATTATACCTTTCTTCTTGTTTAATCTCGCTTACTTTTAATAACTTTCTTCTGTTAACATAAAATAAAAAATTAAAATATTAAGAATTTTCTAAAAGTTTTAGTCATAAATCTATTATTTATTCAAGTATTGCGTTCTAAACACACTAATTTAATTTTGTATTAATATACATAACAATAACAAGCAAACAAAAAATTCGAATATAATGTACAGTATAGAAAACCTGTATGGTGTAATTATGGTGTAATTATTATATAGTATCTATTGATGTGATCTATATGTGTATCTATTGATCTATTATATAGTATCTATTGACTAATTACACCCTTATGGTGTAATTATTATATAGTATCTATTGATTATTAAAGAGTTTTATGTAATTGATATTACCCATATACTTAGCATTGAAAGAAATAATTGGACATATTTGAAACACACCTTTAGGTACGGCGATAGCTACCAGACAAGCCGATCCACTTACTATCAAGCAAGCTATTTGCGTATATCTCCTACCAACAAATCGCTGAAAGTAGTAATATGAAAAACTCGCCGGTATTTCTAATAATGCAGAAAGAAAGAAGAATAAGAGCACGTCCAACCCAATGTCGTCGGCCGAGAATGATAACCCGTAATAAGATATTACGGTGGAAATCCTGTAAAGAAACTTCTTTGTACAGCCAACGAATAAAGGCCTTTCGTATATAGTCTACCGACAATGTTCTTACAGAAAATTTAAACGAAAATAAAACTTACCAAGCAACGTACAATATAAAAGACATTCTTCGTAAATTGGGAGATTTCATTATATCCGAAAAGGTCGCCTGGTTATTTTGGTTTCTTTTGTTTTCCTAAAAAGATATTATTTTAAATTTCACGAACGTTGATTTAAAGGTTCATTCGTTATTTATTTGTTATATTTTCAAAAAATTAATGACCTTTTCGTTCAACTCGGAAATGATTTTTAGTCTCTCGTTCAAATGATCGATTTCTCTCTTGTTTATTTTTAACGCATTTATAGTCACGTTTTCCGCTTCGTTGACTCGATCTTGAGAAAGAAGCCATCTCGGAGATTCGGGTGTAATCCTATTGTGGATTGAATTGTTTTAAATTTAAATATTGATATTATGAGACAACGTAAAATAAAATCAAAGGTGCAGAGTAAAATCCTTACCACCACAAAAGAAGAAATATTAAATAAGTCAAAGTATAAATTAAGTTTATATAAAACCAGTCTCTGAAAAGCCAGACGAGTCCAGGAATAATCATTTGTCCTAATCCCCAACCGACTTTGTTGAAAAACCCCACAATTACTCTATAATCCTTTCCAACAACTTCAGTTACTATACATAAAAAATCGTTAAATTAATTAAATATAATTCGTGCAAACATTTAAATGTACTAATGTTTATAACACGTACAAAGAACATATACAATTAAGCAGGTAGATGCCTGTCCTAGGCCGAGAAGANGCTAAGGTAATTATATACAAGTCAACTTGGTATTGTATAGTAAATCATGTTGACAACGATACAATCTAATTAACATATAAAGTAAAGTTTACTAAGAAATGAAAGTTATAATTATCTTAAGATTATTTTATAATTATCAATTAAATTTTTTTGCTTCAATTAAAAAAACAATTATAGCTAAGGATAAAAAACAATATAAATAATCCCATTAATTGGGTATTTAAAAATGACAATAAATGATTCATAAAATTTTCTTTGTTTTCATACAGAAATTAAATTCGTAAAATAAATCTAAGAACATTTTATAAAGAAACAGCTTTATTTTAAAAAGGAAAGAAACAAGTGTTAAGTTTTCTTACAGATTGCCGATGTAAATGCAAAACAGTTCCTGCTAAGTGGTAAAGAATTTATATACAGGAACAACGAAATGCTGTTCTTGAAGGAACCTAACAAAATATTTTTTATATAGCTTTACGTCTAATAGAAGTACTTGTGTTTCGAATGGGCGTTAGTTAAAGACAGTAAAATAAAAACTATTGACAACAGAAATAAAGTAAAGAAAACCAAGATAGCAGCCGGTACATGACAGGTTACGATTACACGCAAACTTGCCAAAATAAATTAATGGAAGACATAGCAGGTATTATTGATGCCAATCTACATACGAACACCAACAATCGGAAATGACAAAGTTTCCACATAGGCGAGATACTTTCACATTTTGCATTAATTGATTGTTAAGACAACAAAATGGCAATAAAGTAATTAATTGCTATAAAATCCCCTAATTTTACTACGACGACTATTATTTTGGCAGCAGCAAACCGATCAAGTGTTAGAAAATAGCTACGTATCTGTTTGTCATAGATTTAATTCCTAGTACTTTGTGCATTTCTGTTAATACGAGGAAAAAAAGCTTATTACATTTTGATCAATCAAATTACAAAATTATAAAATAAACGAACAGTTATTTATTGACATAGTCACAATGCCGGACTGCAATTGTTTTAATCATATTTTTAATTTATTTCATTTAAAATATATGCTCTCTACCTTAAATTACTAGTGGCTTACCCTTGCCCATTATACATTTGCCGTTAGAATACAGTCGTGCTGGTCATCTATCTAACACCTTTCGGGGGAAATATATTAGAATGCCTCTCCACCAGATACTTCTCTGTAAACCAGATCTGACTCCGGTAAATCCCAAAAACATCCCAGAAACGCTGCTGGTAGTACAGCTCATAGCGCTCATAGGACTGTGCAAGCAGCTTGGCCGCATATTCCGACGCCTTCAGCATACGTCGTCGTCCAAGGAAAAAGACAAGATTGTATGTGCTCTTCATTTCTGGGTAATGAAGAGCACATACATGGTTGGACCATTTGAATGTTCCAATGGTCCAACAGGCACACAATGCATGGCAAGGCTGGAGTGGAACCAGGTTTTATTTTCCTCTAGCATGAACAGGAGTCTCACACCGCATATGCATTCTCCTGCTCATCCCTCGAGCTCTTCATATCCTGCAGAGAGCTGAGTGCCTTCACCACGAGCTCTTGATCCACTGTGAACTTTATTGCGCTCGAAATCGGCTTAGAGCGCAGATAGTACATGCCTGTCTTCAGGCCGCGCTTCCAGCAGTAGAAGTGCATCGACGATAATGATTGGTACGTCGGGCGCTCCATGAATATGTTGAGCGACTGCGACTGGTTGACAAATGGCTGCCTATTCGCGGCCATGTCCACGACGCTCCGCATCTTGTTCACCCATACGGTCTTGTACAGCTCCTTCATCTATCTAACACCTTTCGTGGGAAAGGTAATAGATAGATGAAAATTTGTTTTCGAGATTAAGGAAAGACAACAGACGGACGACAGTGAAAATGTGTACGTCTGCAATATGAAAATTGCAGCCCAATCACTGATATCTGTCATCGTATCATATAGAAAATGAACTAATCTAGTTTTTCGTTCCGTCAGTTTAGAATTTTCTGATATAACATGATACAGTCGACCCCCCTATAACACTGTTAATTATTCCGTTTTATATGAATTCCATATTGTACGAGTCATTTCGATTTTACAAATACATGAGCTGTTCACAGCCCGGCACACGTATTTGTAAAATTTAAGTGACTCGTACAACATGGAATTCGTATAAAACGGAATAATCGTTATAGGGGGGGTCGCCTTGTATTTTCTTATATGTATTAATTTAGATTAATACAGTTTATATAAGATATAACCATAAGTACCATAATATAAGTACTATATAAATATTAAATTTTGTGATAACCTTAACCAGTTATTTAAATTTTAGGGGTGAATATGATATTATAAACAAAAGTAGTTTATTATATAACTACTTTTGTTTGTAATATCATAAGTTTATCACAAAATTTAATGTAAATAGGGGCAAAAAGCAATAAACGATATAAATATGTTATGTAAAATATAATTAATAATTAATCCGAACTAATTGAGATTAGTAGAAATTCGGATATAATGAAAAGTTTGGTGGAAAGGATACGATTCTTACTTTTTTAGGCCATTTTTTACTATTGTAAGATACTTTTCAGTAGGAAGTAGAGGTTAGAATTGTTGTTAAGTCAAACAGGGTCACAGAAAGAATGAGCAGCAATGCCGACAACACGTGACTTGTGAAACTGCAAGAATGAGCTGCAAGTGTACAATTGACAAGTCCATTATTTTAATTAGTAAATGAGAGAAGCTGTTCGGATTACAAATGAATCAGATTAGCGCGAACATAATGTATTTCTTTGTAGAATTTCGCCGGATGATAATTTATTTTAATCACAAAAGACACAGTCTTTTGTGATTAAAATAAATTATCATCCGGCGAAATTCTACAAACAAATCTTTTTTAGAAGTAATTCGTCACCAGAGGGATAAATTATATATAAGACCAAAATTTACATCTAACAGCGTATTTATCAAGTAGATATAAAGGACTGAAATTCCTTAACTGGAAAGGATGCAAGTTCAAGACGTCTGTAAGGCCGCCAGTTCCAATTCTTTACTTTTAATGTTTTAATTGGATATTTTTGTGTTTTTTTTAAAGGAACGTTTTAGCCTGATGACCTAGTAGCCTACAAAGAAAGATCCGGTCGTCGATGGTGTTCTGGAACACATGATAAGAATAAGTGGTGGTTTCAAAAAATAATTTTTGGACAGACTGTGTCTTTTGTGATTAAAATAATGTATTTCAGTAACCAATCACTTTCATGACTGCCGATTTTAATGAGCAGGCGTGAAAGTAGTCTAATATTTCCTCTGTTTTTCCTTGTTGGGAGTTTGAGATTAAATAGACTTTTATTCGAGGAAAAAAGAAAGGGAAAAAAAACTCATGAATACTTGGACTGAAGTGCTTATTTCAAAATTCATTATGTTTTAGTAAAGAACTATTGTACTCTATTGTATATTCGAAGTTTAAATTCAAAAATAACTGAAATGATGTTTTAGATCAGGGGTGGCCAACATGAGGCCCGCGGGCCGCATGCGGCCCTCGGGAAGTCGTATTTCGGCCCGCGCAGCTAGATCAAATGAAGATAAATGTTAACTTT